TTGTCTCCCCCTGCCACTTTTCATTATGTATATAATTAAGATTTTTGAAAATATTCGTAATACGAACATTCCTAAGATCCCTGATGTTTATCCTTGCCAACACTTCTTAGACATAATAAAAGCTGTCAGGAAAAGAGTAATAGCCCTATTTTTGCTTTTCCACTGGTGCCATCATAAAAATAGTAACCCGTTATTTTTATTTGTTCTTAAAAAGAATGACCAATTTACTCATCTGCAGACACAGACATAAATCTTTCTTTCCTTATTTATAGAATGATCATTAGACTCCATTTCTCTGACTGCTGCTTCATCATGGTGCTGGATGATTATCAGTGGCACAACACAATAGGAGCTCACGGAGGGGGAACAGCACCAGAGAGTCGTAGTGGGACTAGTGAAGTATACTAGGGCTTCTCTGTGAATGAAGAAGGACCCTCTTTCCTGCCCAGGGCAGGGGGTTGGATTCGATGATCTACTGACGTCTCTTCTGACCCTAAAAATCTATGAAATCTATGTTGGCCACAGTGCCGAGAGCCTCAGATATGGGTGTTCATGTTCACAAGAACCATGGAGCTGTTAATGTGCTACCATGAATGAACTGCAGGTAGGGTACCATCCAGGACAAAAGTGTTGCAACCCTTTCCTGCTGTGGACAAGCCTTGTAGGGAGGCTTTTTGGAAGATCCCTCAAACATCTCTCAGTATAACACACAGTATAAAAGGTGGGGAGTTGTCGTGGAGTTGTTTGCAATGCTTCCCTCCTCCCAGCAAGGCCTTTTGCTCTGATGTGAGTTTTGCTTTTAACCTGCTGGGAGGCACTGGGAGATGGGACTGTGTAACATGAAGGAGATGTAAAATTGGGTGCCACATGTTTAACGTTGATGCTTCAGCTCCATGTGTCAACAACTCTCAAAAAAAGCTTTGCCTAGATATTGAAACCCCTGGGGTAAAGGACTGAGCCTTGTAGGGGCTCAACAGGTAAAGGATGTTGGGGTAAAGAAGCAGTAGCTGCTGGGAATGTACATGTTCACTGACTGGCTTCTTTAGTATTTCATCCAGGAAGAGCACAGGCCAACTGCAGATGTTTCCTCAGCCTGACGCCGGGGATTTGTACCTGAAAGCTTGCAAAGAAGAATTTTTCCAACTATTTGAGTTGGTCTAATAAAAAGTATCGGATTTACCCAAAGAACCTCGTCTGCCTGCTGCGAATACTGAATCCATTGCATCTCTGACCAAATCTGGATCTGTAACCCACTCTTTGGCAGGAAAAAGACTGACATGCTAGCTCACACTGCCACCTAGCCCTTTAAGCTCTACAAATGTGTCCAAAACTTTGCAGGGAGCTGAAAAATGGACATCTGTTTCGTATCAAGCCTGGCAAATCTTGAGATTTGGTGGCTTGCTGGCACTGAGTATGCGATGCTTTCTACTTCCAAAAACAGATAGCAAAGGTCAAGAAAGGTAAAACCTCCATCCAAACCTAGGGGGCACATCAGGCTAACATATTGAAGGCACACTAGTTTCTAAAGCCTTTAGCACACCCACTGCTTTATGCCTTTCTGTCAGCCAGTAATGGAGATCTTTCTACAGCAATGTTCTTTTTATGCTTCTCTTCTCAAAACATTATTACCGCAGGGTGAAAAAAAAATTATATATATACATGGTATCGTTTGTTAGCAATAAGGCTGTATTGCTTGCGGGAGCTTTAGACATGCCCAATTTAGGCAAAAGCCTTCATTTCAGCTGTAGTTGACAGCATACACACAGCGAGAAACTTATCCAGGAACAATGAGCAAACTGTGCTTTTTTTCTCCCCCAGGCAGACATTTATTTTCACTTATGTTTTCCATATTTATTTCCCTTACAGGTTAGGCCAGTGAACCCAACTAAGTTTTCTTTTAAACGCAATGCTATAATACTTCCAGTGGTTATACATTGTTCCAGATCGATTTGTGGAGCTATAAAAGAATATATAATCTTCTAGCAGGCTATGAGAGCCTTGATACAGAAAAGACTTGCCACCAATTACTGTGCTTGCACATGCAAACCACCAGCTGTGAAACCTCAGGAGGATAAATAAATGATCTAAAATTAGCATTTGCTGTCATATCACTATTTAGTTGGTTTTATTTATGAACTGCTAGATGAAGGACTCTTATTGTAATTCACTCAGATTAGAGGAGGTGTTTATGGGGTTTTTTTGAGATGGATGAGATTCAGATTTTTCTGCAATTAGAGCTGGAACTGACCTACCATAAACAAACACAATCAGATCTAGAGGAGAAAAACCCCATGTAATGTAAAACCTCATTAAAAGACATTACTTTCAAGAACATTATGGCAAGTATCCGAATTAATGAAGAGGGAGATGGATGCGGGTCAAGAGTCTTGCGAGATTTAGTTCATCCGCTTGTCCCTCAAGGAGATGTGCGCTAGTTTTTCATGTCAGTTTGCGGTGAGGACAAATCCCTCTCATTTCATTGTGAACATAAGAATATAAGAATTGCTATTTCCTGGGTCAGACTATAGGTCTGTCGTGAACCATCAAACCCTTGCTATACTTAAGATACATTGATGACATCTTCATCGTTTGGGCTGAAAACCTGCAATCTCTGATTGAGTTCCATCAGAAATTCAACAGTCGTCATCCCTCCATCCGACTATCTCTTGAATACTCCAGCACCAACATCTCCTTTTTAGACATGATGATCAGTATCCAGAAGGGTAAACTGCAGACCACGTCATACAAGAAACCCACAGACCAACATACATATCTGCACAGAACCAGCAATCACCCTAAACACACCAAGAAAGCTGTGATATACAGCCAAGCGCTCTGATATCACTGCATTTGCACTGAGGACACCTGGGATTGCCACCTCACCAATCTTAAAAAGGCTTTCACTCAACAAGGACACTCCTCCAGAGAGAGAGAGCGCACATTTGAAGGAGTCACCCGGATACCACAGGAAGAACTGCTGCAGTACAGAAGAAAACCCCCCATGAATCGCACACTGCTGGCTATGACATATCACCCCTCCCTTGGACCCACACAGAAAATCCTCAAACAATTACAGCCCAGACTAGAAGGAGACCCAATTCTTAAAGGGATCTTCCCAGATCCACCCATCCTAGCCTTTAAACAAGCACCAAACCTCACTAACCTCATCATCAGAAGCAAACTTCCTATAGCCCAAACCACACCCAATGGATCCAGACCATGCCAGGACCAGAAATGCAAAGCCTGCCAACACATCTCCACCGCCCCCACCATAACTACACCCCACAACGGAGCCATCGCCATCCCTGGATCTTACACCTGCACCTCCAGAAATGTCAGGTACCTCATCCAGTGCACCACATGCCCCGATGGAAAATAGGTAGGAGAAACCAAACAACAGCTGTGCACCAGAATGACCGCACACCGGAAACCCATCGAAGACAAAAATACCCAGTTACCGGTGGGAGCACATTTTTCACAAGAAAACCACTCTCTCCAGTCTCTCAGTTCTGATCCTCAAAGGGAACTTACAAAACACTTTTCGCAGATGAACCTACGAACTTCACTTCATCAACCTCCTGGATACAAAAAATCATGAACTAAATACAGACATTGGATTTATGACACATTATAACCTGCCTGACATCTGACTCCCCAGGTACCTCTCCACTATTTACCTGCTCCATTCATCCCCCACCCAGCCTGTCTCTCACCCACTGACTCCTCAATTTACATCTTCTCTGACTGCCCGTCTTGCATGCATCCCAGCCTCTGGCCTCTTTACTATTCGCTCCACCCAGGACGAGCACACACCAACTGCAGAGACTTCCTCAGCCTGACGAAGGGTTTTTAAACCCAAAAACTTGCTAAGAAATGTTTTTTCCAACTATTTAAGTTGGTCTAATAAAAGATATCAGATTCACCCAGAGAACCTTGTCTGCCTGTGTCCTTAGATACACCCCTCCAATCCCTTTTTCCCATCTCCCACCACATCTGGTGGCAATGATTCCCACCCTGTAATGAAAAAGGACGTCCTCGTGTTACTTTTAAACTTACAGCCTACTCATTTCATCGTGTGACCCCTCGTTCTCATCTGGCGAGAGAGTCACTAATGACTTTCTCTTCGCCATTTAGTACTTTGTAAACCCGGAGAGCTGCTTCTTGCTTCCCTCATGTAAGCGAAGCCCTTGCGGCTTGCCTGTCCTGGGGTTTATTTGCAAGGAGCAATGCCACAGAAGTGAGGGGCCTGGTTTGCTGGAGGAAAGAGGTTCCCAGCACCATTGCGAGCTGTGGCATGAAGGAGGAGGGCGACGCTCAGCGGGAGCTCCCGGCACCCTGGGAAGTCAGCTGGGATCAAGTGACCCCAGCAAGAAAAACATCCACGTGTTTTTTGAAAGAGTCCAGAGTAGGCGCTTGCGAAATTGCCGTGACATTTCAAGATGAATTATTGTTACGTCTGCACCGATTGATGAAATGAATACAAATAGTAACGGCGGAGCCCTATATATGTCTATTTTTGTCATATTAGAACGAAAACATCCTGTTTTTCCTCCCCCCCTTAGAGGCCCCTCATACACCGAGGCCCTAAAATGAGGCTTAAGCTGAAATCCGGCACTGATTTCACTTGATTAATGACAGAAGCAAACTGCCCTCACACAGCTCTTAAGAGGCTTGGAGGCTTCTCCTACGGGGGGGTGGGGGGTGTCTTTTTGCACAGCCCAGCGCCAGCCTCTCTCCTCGCAGGCTTTTCCCGCCATGTCTTTTCCCGCCACAGCGCCAACTGGCCCCGCGTCACGTGACACAGCGGCAGAGTGGTACATTCCAACCCCACCCCCCCATAGGGTTCTTGGTTGAGCTCGCTTTGCCGGGGTGACGTCATCGCGCGCTGGCGGCGCCCCCTGACCCCGGAAGGGTTTGTGGCGAACACTTCCGGTGCGGCGGCCGAAGCCTTCTGAGGCGGCCT